ACGGCCACCCCGTCTACCCCTCTCTCTCGTCATCGGTTCTGTGTTCCCGCCGGTAAGTCTCTCTCCCTCTTCTTCGTCTTCTCCTTCTCGCGCTCTGTTTCGGTGTTTCTCTCAGTCTCTCATGACGCACTTGGTCTTTCTCTCTGTCTCTCCCTCCCTCCCTCTCCCCGTCGATCTTGCAGCTGAACAAAAGACATTGCTTGGTCTCCTCTCTCTCCCCCCGTCGATCATAACCCTCACCGCGGGAACTCCATCGTCTCCGCCATCCACCAAACAGGGTCATCTCTCATTGGACCCTTCTCTGCAATTATTGCAATGTATTTGAGTCTGTTGAATTCCGTTTCTTTCTCAAACAAGATGAACGAGATTTCAGGACAAATTGAGTGCTTCTAGCTTGTATGTGTATACATGAATTTATTGGATGTATTTTTGTGTTTCTCTATCACATGTTGCATTGCTTTCTGCATCTCTGTATATATTAGAATTCGATAGTTGAAGTATTTGTATAATAACCTCTTTCTGATCCCTCTCTCAGGTGTAAGTTCGCTGAATCAACATGTCTGTACAATCCACTTTCAACCCATCCTCTTCACTCAAATTCTTCCGCAGCAACGTTCACTGCACTCCTCCTAAGCCATGTTTCTCCGTCCGATTCCCGACCTTCGGTTCTCTCTCTTTCGCGGGTCATCTGAAATTCTCGACCTTTGATTCTCTTTCTTCTTCTCACCGTGTCGGCAGCCATCGGTTCTCGTTCCGTTGCAATGCCCGGAAATCAGAGTCATCAGTTTCGGTTGGTTCTGGTAAGAATCGGCGAAGATTACTGAGTTTGTCAATGTATATATGCGTGTCTGTTCATGTGTGTGGTTTCGTCTTCTATGTTTTGGCTATTCGATTGCTTTCTCATGTTTTGCATTTGTTGATAGATGAAAGGAAATTCGGTTTTTTGGGGGATAATTTTGGTTTTGGGTTCGTAGTCAGGGAGATGGTATGGGGGAAATTTCTGTAAATTGAATGAATAATCATGTTGTTGAATGTACTCGAAGAGTACTGAATCTTGTTTCATTTGGGGGATTTCAGAAATAGGACACTGAAAAGAAGAGATTAATTGCGTTTGAAGCCATTATTATAACTGTTATGAAGCTGCTTATGAGATATGAATCACCAAGGATTCAGACCAATGGCTTTGTTTTCGATTCACTTTGTCATTTATTCATGACATGGTTTCTTCAATTTTCTGCAGAAGAGACAGTGGTTGTTCTTGTTATCGGTGGAGGAGGACGAGAACACGCCCTTTGTCATGCCCTGAAACGATCTCCATCCTGTGATTCTGTTTTCTGTGCTCCTGGAAACCCGGGTATTACAAGCTCGGGAGATGCCACTTGCATACCTACCCTCGACGTTTCAGACAGTTCGGCTGTCATCTCTTTCTGTCACAAATGGAATGTCAGCTTAGTTGTTATCGGGCCTGAAGCTCCCCTTGTTGCGGGCCTCGTGAATGACCTTCTTAAGGCTGGTATTCTCGCATTTGGCCCTTCTTCTGAGGCCGCTGCTTTGGAAGGATCCAAGAACTTTATGAAGATTCTCTGCGACAAGTATGACATCCCCACTGCAAAGGTTTGCCATGTGTCTTATGATTTTCGTTTTCTTTCCGAAGAGTGTTAGGTCGTTAGATACTGACTGGTAATCTAAATTTTGGTTCAATGCAGTACAAAACGTTTTCTGATGCATTTGCTGCTAAAGAATACATTCAAGAGCAAGGGGCGCCTATCGTGGTCAAAGCTGACGGGTTAGCAGCTGGAAAAGGAGTCATTGTTGCCATGACCCTCGAAGAGGCTTTTGATGCCGTTGACTCGATGCTTTTAAAAGGCGTGTTCGGTTCTGCAGGATGTCGGGTAATTGTGGAAGAATTCCTCGAAGGAGAAGAGGCTTCCTTTTTTGCCCTTGTGGATGGGGAGAATGCCATTCCTCTGGAATCTGCTCAAGACCACAAGCGAGTTGGAGATGGAGACACGGGACCTAACACCGGAGGAATGGGAGCGTATTCTCCGGCACCGGTCTTAACGAAAGAGCTTCAGGATGTGGTCATGGAGTCTATAATCCACCCAACTGTGAAAGGAATGGCAGAAGAAGGGTGCAAGTTTGTCGGTGTTCTATTTGCGGGTCTCATGATCGAGAAGAAATCCGGTTTACCTAAGCTGATTGAGTACAATGTCCGGTTTGGAGACCCCGAGTGTCAGGTCAGTCATCACCCGTCTTTAGAGAAAAACTTTTCCTTTGTTATAAACAATGCCCGGTTTTCATCTAAAACCCGTTATAACGTCTCGATACATCTCTTTCACGCAGGTTCTAATGGTACGGCTTGAATCCGACCTCGCAAAGGTTCTACTTGCTGCCTGTAGAGGGGAGCTCGAAGGCCTAACCCTGGATTGGTCACAAGATTCAGCCATGGTGGTGGTAATGGCAAGCAAAGGTTACCCGGGTTCGTACCAAAAAGGAACAGTCATCAGAAACCTCGAAGAGGCTGAATCGGTAGCTCCGGGCGTAAAGGTTTTCCATGCGGGAACCGATCTTGATGCAGAAGGCAATTTCATAGCCTCGGGTGGACGGGTTCTTGGTGTCACGGGGAAGGGTAGAGATCTCGAAGAAGCTAGGGACAGGGCTTATAGAGCAGTGGAAGAGATCAACTGGGCAGGAGGGTTCTTTAGGAATGACATTGGGTGGAGGGCGCTTAGACGCAAGCAAGTGGTTGCAAAAGACTGAACCGAGAAAACGGAATTGTATATCTATAAAATACACAGTGACAACGAGCATTTCGGTTTAATATACAGCAAACCGAGTCAAATTTAACTATTTGATTATCATCTTTTTAAAATTATTTTATATATAGTTTGAAATAAATCCGAATGAGAAAAATCTAATCGAAATATATTTAATAAAATAACTAATTTTTTATTTAAACCTGAATCAAAATTAAATAAATATAAATTTTCCGGTTGAAAATTACACCTAAAAAAATAACTGAATGGATTATTGTAAACCCTAATAAATGACTAAATCGATTATAAACCCTAAACTATTTATGAAATTTGGTAAGGGGGGCAAAGCATATATGAGCTTGAAAATCGACAAAGTTGATGCCTGGGTCCAAATTGCACGAAATTTTATTTTGGCATAGACATGAAGATGGTAACGTGGTGATCATCATCAACCATGATTGCGTGTACTTGTGACATTGGTTATTAAAAAAAATACCAAAAACAATTAGAAAATTTGGCTAATGAATGCGACATGTTACTTTAACATGAAGATATTAATATGGAAATCCATTAATTATAAAAAATAATAAATTAACAAAAATGGAAAAGGACTGTAAGACAAAATCATAACTAGGGTCATGAAACCGACCATGCACACCTCAATATCCTCCGTGTCAGCGAGTTAGAAGTAGGCGAGTCGTCGAGTTGGATGTGTTCTTTAGATCCCAGCACAAGTGCGATTTCAGCTAGTGGAAAGGGAAAAAGATAATTTCTCGGTTGGGAGGGTATTGTTTTCTACATCCTATCGTCGGACCCTTAAAAACTGTTCCCGAACTTAGATGTACGTAGGTTGAGGCGAAGGCGAAGGCAAGGTGAAACTCCTAGCTAAACAAAAAAAATCCTCCGTCTCCAAATATCTTTTGATGCCGGAAAGGTATGCATGCATGTATACATACATAACATACAAATATCGATATTATAATAGGATTAAAATATAAATATTAATTTATATAAATTCATTTTCATAGTTAAGATTCATTTTAATAATAATCGTTCAAATTATATATATATATATATATATATATTCATCTCTAAGCGGTGCATGTGGACTCTTTGCGTACGAAACACAAATCAAAGGCTTACTTCACGAAAATTTAAGAACAATATGACATACAAATATATATATATATATATATATATATATATATATATGTCAACAATCAATATATATTTCTAATTTAATATATATTTAAATACTGAAAGGAACTTTTAAAATTTGAAATATCCTACATTCAAAACGATGCTTTCTTTCTTTCATTGCAACATCTATACACACTTTTCTAACGCATTTTTAATGTTTTTTTTCCTTAAGATCAGTTGTTTAAAAAAAGTGAGAATTTAGTACTATCACTAGCATTAAAACTACAAAATCATTATTATTATTATATGAAATATCTATAATTAATTTTAATCTTAGAATATGATAGACACAAACATATATGGGGACACTGACACACTAGAGGAGATGTGCATAAAATCTTCCAAATAGTTTTTCAGACAAAAAGACCGAATAAGACAAAATGGATTTAAACATGTGAATTCGTTAGTCTAATAATGAAAACGTATACATAAGAAGATGAACGAATTTGACAATTTAAGTTGTAACGAAATATATATATATATAGTATATGGTAATCGAATGAATGAATAATTAGTGCAAGTTGGAATTTGTTGGTTTCGCGTATTTTTTGATGCGATAAAATAACAAAAAATAAAACAAACAATCACAAGTTCCTAAATATACCGAATAGGAACGAACGAAAGCCCAATGATTCCAGCTTTCGTTGCCACCTCCCTCTTGCCCTCCTTTGGCTTTACTCTCTCGCAAGCAAGCCTCGAATCGGTGAGATAGGTTGAGGATGACCAATCCCGGTGAAGATCGCCGCCGCCGACCCTTGCACCACCGTCATCCGCCTCATGCTCCGGCGACTCGGTCGAAGGTCTCCAAACGGGTACTCCTCCGCGTCGCCTCCGTCGCCTGCGGGATACAGTTCGGCTGGGCTCTTCAGCTCTCCCTCCTCACGCCGTACGTGCAGGAGCTAGGGATTCCACATGCGTGGGCGAGTGTGATTTGGCTATGCGGTCCGCTCTCGGGCTTGTTCGTGCAACCCCTCGTAGGACACAGCAGCGATCGGTGCACGAGCAGGTTCGGCCGTCGCCGGCCGTTCATCGTCGCCGGAGCTGTGTTGATTGCCGTCGCCGTGCTGATCATCGGCCACTCGGCGGACATCGGGTGGGTGTTTGGGGATACAGAAGGGAAGATTCGAGCGAGAGCGATTGTGGCGTTCGTTTTCGGGTTTTGGATCCTCGATGTTGCGAATAACATGACTCAGGGTCCCTGTAGAGCTCTTCTCGCTGATCTCACTGGTAATTTCTTGAACCTCTTCACCGATTTGATCCTTGTTGTTGTTGATCATCTTGGGGGCTCGGCCTCCGAACCGTACGTGGGACGAGTTTCTGCCTCTTTGACTAAAAAATGGTTTTCCTGTTTTCTTCAAACCCAGAAGGAGGCTTCTCTAACATGAGCGGGTTTTGTTGTTTGAATTATCGAAACATTTCCTTTTCTGGGATTGTCATGAATGCACTCACATGCAGAAAGTATACATCAGAGGAATCTATGTGTATGTATGCACAAAAACAAACATAAATACATTGACGTTGTTGCTTATTTTGTATGAACATTCTAATCATGGAACATGGGGCATGTCTTAGATTTTTTGAGGCTTGAGGGATTCACGTGAACCTCATAACCAAAAGGGTCCTTTCGTTCTTCGGTCTTCGGTCTTTTTCTCGTGAAAACAGGTCTGAATTGAGTGAATGGTTTCTCTGACATTTTTTGGATTAAGAGTTTTAGCCGAAGAAGAATCATGCTTTTTATGAAGTTTTTCTGAAAATTAGGATCTGAGTTGAAGAGAGGGCACTGGAAATAAAAGCTTTTTTTTAGCTTGTGAAATTGTGCATCGGGAAATTTTAGCCTGTTCCAATTGTTGGCATGTAGCTATGTTGAGAAACCCATTGGTAGTCATAGAAGCCTTTCTCACATATATGATTTCGATATTTGAAATTTTAGACCCGAATCTGTTTTAAGGAATCCAATCATATGGTCGAGTTCTTTCTTGAGGAAGCTTTTGATTTCTTATTTATTGATTTATCTGTTGTATATATTCTCCAATACGTGAGATTGTATACACCGGCTATGTAAATTGGCTGTTGCATCTGGTCATTGGAAGGGATATAGTGATGCATGAAAATATATATGTGTGTATATATATATATATATATATATTGGTTTGTAGTTCTCATTTGCTAATAACTAATTTTCTAAGGTTGTGGTTTTAAGTCAATCTTGGGGAGTAGCAGTAAGAACGGAGAAAATCCACCAAATACATCTAAGTGGAAGCTATAATATTGTTCCTCATTGATTAATCATCTGTATGCTATATCTGCATCAGCATTGTTTTAACCAGTGCTGTTAAATTCTTTGTTTTCAAAATTTTTACTGGCCATAAGATTGTAGTTTGAGGAATGTGCTCTAATTTGCTTTAATATGGTTTAAATTTCTGTTCCAGAGAAAGACAACCGCAGGACCCGTGTAGCAAATGCTTACTTCTCACTCTTCATGGCTATTGGCAACGTTCTTGGCTATGCTACTGGATCGTACAGTGGTTGGTATAAAGTCTTCCCATTTACGAAGACTGTCGCATGCAATGTGGAATGTGCCAATCTCAAGTCTGCCTTCTACATAGATGTAGTTTTTATTGCGATAACTACGTGGTTAAGTGTTTCTGCTGCTGACGAGGTGCCTCTTGCTTCATTGCCTTCTGAAGCACATGGGCAATCTAGTAGCACCCAGGAAGCTTTCATGTGGGAATTGTTTGGGACTTTCAAATATTTCCCAGGAATCGTTTGGGTAATCCTGCTGGTTACAGCATTGACTTGGGTCGGATGGTTTCCGTTTATTCTCTTTGACACAGATTGGATGGGTCGGGAGATCTATGGTGGCGAACCAAACCAAGGTACTTACTATAGTACTGGTGTCAGGATGGGTGCACTTGGTTTGCTGTTGAATTCTGTTTTTCTTGGAATCACTTCGGTGCTCATGGAGAAACTTTGCAGAAAGTGGGGGGCCGGTTTTGTGTGGGGAATATCAAACATCCTAATGGCTCTCTGCTTTCTTGCTATGGTTGTCACCTCCTTTGTTGCGTACCACCTGGATTACCTCGGCCATGATTCACCGCCTGCTGGCATTGTATTCACAGCACTATTCATTTTTTCGGTTCTTGGCATTCCACTGGCGGTGAGTTATCAGCTCGCCAGTTCTGGTCACAGTTTATTTGCGTTTAGAAAGAAGCAACTGATAGACTGTAAACAATCTTGCGAAAATTTTCGTCGTGATATGCATTCCCAAGCTGGAAGCATTGTGACAGTTTTGTTTTTCATGCCCATCTTAAGTCTTTTTGTTGCCATATACTTCTGTCAATATCCGTATTTGACTTTCTATACCATACTGAGACCTCATTTGTCCAGTAAACTGATGCTTTGAGTGGTACTTATTTGCAGATAACTTACAGTGTCCCATATGCGTTGATTTCTATTCGTATTGAGTCCTTGGGACTCGGTCAAGGTGAGCATTCCCTTTCGTGTTACGTTTGTTTGATTAACTCTTCAAGTGGGTATTGTTTCTTATAATGATTCCATTGCGGCAGGCTTGTCTTTGGGTGTGCTGAATTTAGCTATTGTGATCCCACAGGTACATATCCGTTCTACTATCCTTTGTACTGTTTTGTGTTGCCTCCACCAGTGATCTAGAATATGTTATTGACCGATTCATCCATACTCTGTCATGGATTGGTAATTTTCTATTGATTCTGAATGTGGCAGTGACATTATTTGGCACAATAACTTTCACGAGTGAATGTGAGCTTCTCAATGAGAATGAATGCATCTGTGATCATTTTTAGGATAGTCAGTCGCTTGATATTCGTCTCTAATACTTTTGGTTTACCTTGTCTTCCTCGAACCATGGGCATTAAATTGACATTTCTATCTGTTATCTCATCTGTCTGCAGCATGTTGATTTTTGGGGTAATGAAATTTAATTCTTTATGCAAACCTAAAGAAATGAGTCCACAGGTTTCATGATGTTTTTTTTTGTTGAAGCTGTCATAATCTTCTGCTATTTCCTCGTCAAAAAACATGAAGGTGACATCTGGCTCTTGCCACTAGATTTTATTGCTCCAATGGCTATCTGTCATTTGCCTATTTTAGAGTTTCTCGCATATAATCTGTCACTATGCTAGCTGAATCGATCTACTGGAATGAGGAAAATCCTGGAAATGTTTGTACATGAACTGCAAACCATTCTTTCTTAGTTCCTCATTGATGATTTCCTTGTTATGTTCAGTTGCATTGCTTTTTCTTATGTCTAATTTGACATAATGTCACCGATTCATTCTCTTTTCGATCATTTGCGTAATGAAGTATTATGTTTTTGTCTAGGTAATTGTATCTGTTGGCAGTGGTCCGTGGGATCAACTGTTTGGTGGAGGGAATTCACCGGCTCTTGCCATAGGAGCGGTTGCGGGTTTCATCGGTGGAATTATAGCCATCGTAGCTATTCCTCGAACTCGTGTTCAGAAGAGCACTCCTCTTCCATGAAGTTCTTTCACTGCACAAAAGGTACTTTTCTTAATTCCCTTTCTCAATTTGAGGTCTTTATGATATCCACAGTTTCCACTGATTGACTATACGGGTTCATGTGGAAGGCGGACTATATTTCTACGAGGATTAGACGAGTATACAAAGAGGAATGATGAAAGCGAGTTTACGGCGAACATTTATCAAACTTAAGCTAGGAAAAAAATGACCTGAGAGATTGCATTTAACATGAACCTTGTCAAAGCGCAACAGCTTCATTTAGACATACTGTGTGGCTAAAAGCCTTTATTCAGGCTAGGACCTAAGCGCTTTCTCCGGAAAGTTTACGGTAAAACAACGACATCATTGGAAACACGAGGTATTTGTATGTCTCCTTTATTATTGCCCGATTTTCGGGATTTGTTTTTTTTTTTTCCGCATCCAGGGGTCATCCTTGTGTGTTACACTGTTATTTGCCTTGCTCCCAAATGTTTCCATGTACATTAAAAGTAAAATATGTTTTGTAATGGTTTATTAGTGCATGGTGGTGTATGAATGAGTGTATCTTTCTAACAATGAAGATGCTGCTTTGGTAATATTTGCTTTTGTCGTGTCTGAGATTCTGTAAGTATGCAGATGGACACAGAGTTTCCTCAGATGCTTTTTCTTAAATTTTGTTGTTTTGAATTTTGACAGTTTGATGCATTTCTCTATTTTGCAATGGGAATGGAATCAGGAATCTGTTTCATTACCACTCAGCTCAATTTCATCGTCTACTGATTCTAATTCTGGTTTTGGTTCTTGTTCGTCTCTTTGGATATTTTTTTTTCCTTTGATGCATTTTTCCTCTAACGATATATCGATTAGGGCTGCACGCGGGTTCTAACGAATATATCGATTAGGGCTGGATGTGGGTTCTGAACCCGCCATCCCACGGGTATCCGAAATTCGGGTATCCAAGCCATCCACCGCAAGTACGAAGTCAGTTGTATGGTGTATGAATTCGAGTTCGGGTTTCGTCAACTGATTAACCGTACATGCGAGTAACTCGAGCCAAGGTGGAGGGCGGAGAGGGCGAGACAGTGACGGTGTGTGAAGTGCGCTGAGGGGCATTAAGGTTTCGTTTTCGAGATTCGACTCGGTTATTTGCCTTATTTTCTAGTTTTTTGAATCGAGAAACGAGAGGGATTTCGCAATTTTGGTTCGTCCTGGCAGTTATCGTGTCTCCTGATGCGCTCTTCATCAGGTACGTCTAACCTTCGATGTATCGCCTCACCGCTTTACCCTATGGACCTCTCACCTAGCCGGTCTCCGCAGTCCTCACCTTCTCACTTTGCGATCAAGTTTGTCAGATCTGAAGAAGAAGTTTTTCGGCTCTTTATTCAACCTATGTACGAAACCATTTATACAAATGGAGAATATAGCAAATATATCCTTAAAATGTTATCCTTACTTCACACTCTACCTTCAAAAAATTAAATCTAAAAAAAAAATTTAAATGAGTTAAAAACATACATAACCCTGAATTTTAAGGAAAAGACAAAAAAGACCATGTCTTTTCAATTAAAAAAGGACTAAGTTTTTTTTAAAAAAAGAACTCCTCTCTCTTTCTCTCGATAAACTTTCACCCTCCCTCTCTCTCTTCTGTTGAACTCTCTCTCTCTTATATTATTTCGAAAACTCTCTCTCTTGTGCGATTTCAAGAACCACTATTTCTTTCTCGGAATTTTTAGAAACTGAGGCGATTTCTCTTGCGATTTCTATGAAAAATTAAACACCCATGGATCCAAGAACACATGTGCCTTCGTCTTCGTCTGCGTCTCAGGCCGGTTCATCTTCGTCATCGTCGGACAACGATCTCCCATTAGAAACAGTAGGTTTTTCTACATATTCTTCTCCATTTTTTTCTTCTGTGACCTGATACTGGAGTAAAGTCATGTGGGTCACATGTTACATGAGTCACAGAGATTTATATAGTAACAAGATAATATGACTCACAAGGAGCACACGGGTCATACGGGTCACCGGTCACGGGTCACGAGTCACGGGTCACATGGGTCACGGGTCACACGGGCCACGGGTCACAGGTCCCAGGTCACAAAGATCATAATGACGAACAATTATTTTATTTTGCAACTTCCATTTGGCTACAAATTCGAAGACATTCAGTTTTCTTTCGAAGATCAATACGAAATGTTATTCCTATGAGACGCTGAAGACGCTTAAAGAAGTATTAACACAGGATGAATGGATGTACTTCGAGAAAGAATCACAGTTCCAATATCTATTCCACGCGCAATGGGAACCACAGTTAAAGATGGCGCTTGCGGGAGTCCTCATTAACCGCTAATCCATTATTGTGAACTCTTTCGTATTTTGTAAACTTATTATTTATTGTGAACTCATTCGTAGTTTGTAAACTCAGTTTTTGTAAACTCTTTCGTATTTTGGCGCTTGCGAGAGTCCTCATTGAGCACGCACTTATATCTGGTTTGAACAAGGGAGCAGAATTCATGTCGATATGCGATGGGACCATACCATTGATCTGTGAAAAATTGGCTATCGATATATTTTGTAATGGTAAAATTGTGTACAACTAACCCGTTATTTATTGTGAACTCTTTCATTAAACTCAGTTTTTGTAATCTCTTTCATATTTTGGATTTTACTTTTACTTTTACTTGAAAATGAGAAAGAAAAAAAAAACATAAGTCCAATGGGTCACAGGATCACATGGGTCACATGAGTCACGGGTTACATGGGTCACGGGTCACGGGTGAGTCACATGGATCACATGGGTCACATAGGTCGATTTTATCGAATTAGTGACTTGACATGGTTATGCAGTGATTAATTATGGATTTTAACATCAATAACAACTTTAAAATCATGTTCGTTTCAATTTTCATATTCAAATCACTCATGCAAATGTACTCCGTAAGTGATTCTAGTGTTTCATGTTAACTTATGAACAAATTGTACTAATGTTCATACAACTCTTACTTATGTTAACGAATTTAACTTGCAGATACCATATTATCATTGTAAAACATCATATAAACCATTTTAACACTTTAAAATCGAGATTTAACCATGTTTTATAAGTGCAACTGAGTCACGGGTCACATGGATCACATGGGTCACACAGTGTAAAAATGTCTTCGGGTCATATAGGTTACAGGTGAGTCACACGGGTCACACAGTTCAAAACTTGTTTCTATCTTTTCAAGACTTTAACACGGTACTAGTGCAAAGAAAATCACTTTATTCAAATAGATTGTCCTTTTGGAAAATGTATACAATCACATGGGTCACGAGAACTACATGAAATCATACAATCATATTATTTATGCAATATCTTTATTTGTCCTTCTTTGAACGCTTTGTCTGCGGTTCGCCGGGGCCTGGAAACCGAATTTGTTTGGGTCTACCGGTTTTGCGTTTATCTTCCACAATCGGAGGTAATACCACGAGGTTTGCATCCTGTGGATCGTCAATTATCCAATCACAACAATTAGGAACCGGATAAACCGTTTCTTGATAAGCCAACCGCCATGTCTCTCGGAGAAAGTATGGAGAGCATAAGTCCGATATAATATTGCCTCTGTCAGTCTTGTGGACTGCTGCGATTGCGTATTGCATGAATATTTGTCTATATCAAACATCTAACTCGATTTTCCCCCACAAAACACAGTAAACAACTCAAAAACAAGAAAAAACCCACAGAGTAACAGTATTTAAGTCGAAACTTACCTATTTGCACGATTCTATTTGATTTTCCGCTAATTTTCACGAGATTTGAAGTAGTTTCGCAAATTATCGAAGAGAGAACAAGCAAATCGGATAAATGAAGTAAATGTGAGGACACAAAGACCAAATCTAAAGGGAGAGCAACAAATAGGAAGAGAGAGAGAGCAAATCGGTGGCGGCGTAGGCAGAATTAAAATTGGAGGAGAGAGAGAGCAAAATACGAGAGAGCAAACGGAGGAAGAGAGCAAACGGAGGAGAGAGAGCGCAAATGCCAGAGGAGAGAGAATGAAAAATGTCGAAGGAGAGAGAAGAAAAGTGATAATGAGGAGAGAGAAATCGATATTGCTTTTTAGGAGAGAAATTATTATTTTATTTATTTAATTTTATTTGTTTAATGGAAATTGTACATATGGGAAGAGTATATGTGAAGGGGTTATTTTTTTCCTGAGAGAAGGGTATTCTATGAAGTACAAGTAGCATTTTAAGAACATTTTTTATAATGCCCCATACAAATATATGAAATACAGTTCTGTTGTTTCCACGATTACAGGAAATGACATTATATCAAAATACTCTTAATTTGCTATTTCTACTTCAAGACCTACCCTTGTGACCATGTGACTAATGTGACTGAAATATAGTGTGCTCACATTTTGATTTTATCGATTACAACGTTAAATTTATGGTGATCACACTAATTCATTATGTTCATACTTTGTATATCTTACTAATCATTTGATTAAAACATCATAAATTTAACGTTATGAACAATGGAATCAATATGTGACCACACTATATTTCGGTCACATGGTCACAAGGGTAGGTCTTGAAGTAGAAATAGCAAAGTAAGGGTATTTTTGATAATATCCCGCAGGGAATCAATATAAATGCTGCCATTTTGGTTGTTGACGAAGATCCCGTGGAATACGTGACTTAGCTTCTACATATCCCGAATAAAGTTCTTAAACCATCACTGCACCTTGTGGATATTAGGAGCTCGAGTACCTGATTCTTTGAGGTTCCGTTAACTCTTCGATAGACCTAAAGACGCTAAATCGAGGTCAGATAGGCCGAAATGTTCGGGAATTCGACCCGCCTCTGCTTCGAATATTGGTGCACTGTATCGTGAGATATCGTTATCGGTCTCTGGCGGATTCAAATTTTTATGTCGTAAATATTTGCATGTGGGAATTGTGAGGAAGAGGAAGGATTTCGAATATGCACTTCCCATTCATTTTCATGATCTAAGTGCACGTTTCGTGGGCCTTTTAATTTAGGGTTTTACTTCGTTTGGGTTTGTGGAGACTAGGGCCACCTTTTTGGGTTTAGGTAATTTTAATGAAAAAAAATTATTGGATATAATTGCTTCAAAACTAAATTAATTAAAAACATGGAGCTGAATGCAAAAACCATTAAAAAGAGAACAAAAATAAAAAATTTTAATATAAAAATTGGACGAAAACTAAATTATTTTGAGAAATATTTTTTTTAATGAAAACTAAATCTGGTGACAAAATTGAACGTTGTAATTTTTCTAAAGCAATAAAATCTAAATTCCAAAAGAACAGCCAATTGATCCACACACTTTCGAAAGTATTCAAGTTTTTTATGGGTTTTTTTTTCCTCTCAAAAGGATTGATGGATCCGAAATTTAAAGATGCTCTCCCAAGAAGAATTATTTGACCGTCTGAAAATATTTTTTTATAATCCGAAAGTTCATCGATTTTTCGTCCAAATTACATCTTTCAAAAGATCGAAAAAGTCCAGATGAACGGAGAATTTAACCTAGATTGGAAAGGGTCGTATGAGAATGTTGCATGCTAATTGTGACACAAAAGGAGTATTTTT